GGGTGAGGTAACCCTAAAGTCTGCCCAACAGCCCCCTGGGGGGGGGGGGGTAACCCCAAAACACGTCCGGGGGGGGGTAACCCTAAAATCTATCTGGGGGTGTGGAGGTAACCCCAAAACACTCCTGAGGAGTGGGGGGAACCCCTACAATCTATTGGGGGGGTGGGAGGAACCCCAAAACCCACTAATATCCCCCTGGTAGGGTGGGGGTGACCCTAAAATCCACCTGGAGGGGTGGGGATAACCCCAAAACACATTTGGGGGGGTAACCCCAAAACACACCTGGGGGGTGTAACCCCAAAACATACCTAGTGGAGTGGGGGGAACACCAAAATCCATCTGGGGAGCTGAGGTAACCCCAAAACACACTTGGAGGGTAGGGGGAACCCTAAAATCCATCTGTGGGGGCTGGGGTAACCCCAAAACCCACCAACATCCCCATGATAGGGTGGAGGTAACCCTAAAATCCACCTGGCCCCCCCTTCCCAGCAGGATGGGGGTAACCCCAAAATCCATCTGGGGGTGGGGGTAACCCCAAAACCCACCCCCCCCCCAATGAGGTAGAGGTAACCCCAAAATCCATTTGGCAGGGTAGAGGTAACCCCAAAATTCACCTGCTTCTCCCACACCCTCAGTGGAGCAGAGGGAACCCCAAAAATCCATCCAGTGGGATAGAGGGAAACCCAAAACCCACCTGATGTGGTGGCCATAATCCCAAAAGTCACTCAGCAGGGTGGAGATAACCCCAAAATCCATTTGGTAGGGTAGAGGTAACCCCAAAATCCATTTGGTAGGGTAGAGGTAACCCCAAAACCCACCTGCCCCTCCCACACTCTCAGTAGAGGGAGCCCCAAAAATCCACCCAACAGGATACAGGGAACCCCAAAACCAACCCAGCCCCTCTGGCAGGGTGGGGGTAACCCCCAAAATCCACCTAACCTCCACCCCATCAGGGTAGAGAACCCCAAAACCCACCTGATGGGGTTGCCATAATCCCCAAAATCACTCAGCGGGGTAGAGATAACCCCAAAATCCATTTGGCAGGGCGGGGGTAACCCCAAAATCCA